CTACCTAAAATACCTAAGCTTTTCCCTAAGGAACCCTAGATCTAGGTCAAAGACCCTTAGATCTACCTATTCTAGCAAGCATAAAGCATCCAAAAAAGGAGATGATGATGCAAATCAAAGGAGGGGTATGATTCAGCTCGAAACTTCGGATTTCAAGTCCCTAGAGCTAAGTATTTATTTTTGTGCTTAATTTAATTTTATTTCTTCATTTAATTATCTATTTTGTTTTATTTATATCTGAAAATAGATTTATTATTAGATTTAGTTAAATTTAAAAATATTTGTTTTAAGTCAAATTACGGATGTGAAGCTGGTGCTGCCAATGGACCCAAGAAAGAATCAAATTTGAATAGATCTATGCCATTGTTGGGTCCATAATTCAAGTGACCACATTTTCTCTATATTTTTCAAATTTAACTAAGTTTTGCAAAGGTTTGAGTATATCTCACCTAAAGATCGATGCAGATCGGAGCGTAAATAAATTCTCAACAAAATAGAGTCACAGAGAGAATGAATCACACTTTGATGGAGTGTGCAAGGTGCATGTTAAGCAACGCTGGCCTTAAACAAGAATTATTGGCAAAAACCGTATCAATAGCTTGCTATCTCATCAACCGACCACTTTCGATTGCATTACGAATCAAAACTCCTAATAAGGTATGATATGCAACTCTTAGTGATACTCCATTTTAGAAATTTGTTGTTGTGATGCTTATACACTTATTCCAAGTTGCAAAAGGAACAAGTAGGATGCAAGGTCAAAGAAGTGCATCTTTGTAGGTTATAACAAGGGTGTGAAGGGATACCAATTATGGGATCCAAGTACCCGAAGATAATGAATCTGTTGTACTAGAAAAACGGATAATGAAGAAGGACAATAATCAAGAAGTCCAAGAAGAGTGTCAAGAGTTTGATAGCAACATTGAAATGCTTCTACAAAGTGCAATCTTGCCTTAACAAGAATATACCCATTGATCATGGTGAATAGCATGAAGAACCGAAAAATGAAGATGAAGAACCACATGGCCGTCAAGATGAAATTGTCCCTTTGGCATATAGGCGCTCTAGTAGAGAAACTCAATCACCTGAGTGGCATAAAATTATATGGATCCAGATACTTTACATTCTTTGATAGTTGAAAAAATGAAGAGCTAACATCATTTCATGGATCCATTAAAAAGTAATAGTTTCAAGCATTGAAAAATAACTATGGAATAAGATATTGGTCCTTCAAAGAAACAAAATATAGGATTTAGTGGAGCTACTAAAAGGTAGAAAGACATTTAGCTGTAAGTGTGTATTGACACAATTTTTTGTAAATTCATGGTATTGAGTTTGATGAAATTTTTACACCTGTAGTCGAGTTGGTCTCAATTCATTTGGTACTTAGGTTGGTTGGTATGTATAATTTAGAACTTGAGCAAATAGACATAGAGACGGCATTTTTGCATGGGGAACTTGAAGAGAAAGTGTACATGCAACAACCAGAAGGCTTTATAGAGAATAACAAAAAAGGACATAGGTGCAAATTGAAGAAGTCTTTGTATGGGCTCAAGCAAGCATCAAGACAATGGTATAAAACATTTTATATGTTTTTGATGAATCTTGGGTACACTAGAAGTAAATATGATCATTGCATTTATTTTGTGAATGATATACTTTTGGTGTATAAAGATAAGGCTAGGATTGATGAACTTAAGACATCCTTGACAAAAAAAATTTAAAATGATCTTGGGCTGGCAAGACAAATCCTAGGAATTGAAATTGAAAGGGATAAAGGCAAAATGGAATTTTGTCACTATTTCAAAAAGGGTTACATAGAAAGGGAGCTTGAAAATTTTGACAAGAAAAATGTAAAGCCAATGAAGATACCGTTAGAACCTCACTTCAAATTATCTTCAAGGCAAAGTTCAAAGACCTAAGAAAAAATAAGAAGTATGACTAAGGTGCCCTATGCGATTGGAAGCTTAATATTCGCCACGGTATGCACTAGGCTGGATATTGCCCATATAGTTATTATTCTAAGTTAATTTATGGCGAACCCTAATAAGGTCCATTGGGAAGCAATCAACGAGTGCTTTGATATGTAAGGGGTACTACTAATTTATGCAATCACATTTAGCAAGGGCTCAAATCCAATGAAAAGTTTTATTGATGATAATTTTGTTGGGGATCTTGATAGAGGTAGGTCAACTACCTCATTTGTTTTTCGGTTTGCAAATGGACAGATAAGTTTGATGCCAAAGCTCCAAGAAAACTACAACAAGGGCATCAAAAGAAGTAATGCACTTCAAGGATTGATGGGTGAGATGGGTGCTATATATAAGACCATAGAACTATTTTGTGATAATTTGGGTGCTATTAACTTGGCTAAGAGCCCAATTCATCATAAGAGGTCAAGGCACATATTAGTTCAATACCATTATATTTGGTAAGATGTTGAAGATTGAAAAATTTGATTGAGACAATATCACATATATGCTTACAAAGCCTACTCAAGTAGAAAAGTTAGAATGGAATCTAACTTCTCTTGGTCTCAAGAAAGGAAATAAGTGAGGGTTTAGCAAGACAAGAGTGTGATTTTGTATTAAGGTGGAGATTTTTGGGAAGTGATGCACAAATCACTTCAATTAAGTATTCCCCTTTTTATTATGGATATTTTCATCATATGAAAATAACCTTTTATGGAGGCCCGCAAAAGTGCATTGTAGGGAGAGAAAACAAACGAGAGCATAGAGAAGGTTTCAAGAGAGAGATTGGAGGTTTTTTGCACAAACTGTAGCATTACTTTGCCCTTGTATTTGATCGAATTTCATCAACATTTCTTTGCAGTGACGGTGTTGGTCAATGGTGACGAAGGAAGGAGCCGAATGATGTAGGTATTGTGGTAGGAAAAATCAATTTTAGTTTTATTTATTGTGAGATAATCTCTGCAAAACCCACAAATTTGTAAATTTTTTATATTGATAGTGAATACATCATTGCCCTTTGCCGATAGATATAGCTCATTTTGGATGAATCATGTAAATTGTCATGTACCTTCTACTTTTGTTTGTGCTATGATCTTGCAATTTCCTGTTTTACTTATTCTTTGTATATCTATATTTTTCCCAAATCTATTGCACATATTATTGTTCTTGGGCATTTTATTATCATGACATTGCTTGTTGAAGATTGACAAGTCCACTTCCAGGGGTTGGATTTATTGTTGTGGGGATTTGGGTTATCTTGATTTGTCAACATTTCATAAAGATAGAGATGATTGGGTTTTGAAAAAGGACCATGTGGTATCAAATTTTCATTTTTGAGAGAGTGAGAGAAAGATTGAGAGGGTTATAATGTGACATCAAAGGTTTCATTCATAACTATTAACATGTCAAAAAAGGGAGAAAGTGAGAGGTGAATTTTTGTTTCCTTGGTTTTTTTATTTTAGAGAGAGAGAGAGATGTTACTCCATTTCCTAGGTTTTAAGTTAGAAGATGGAGAGAAAAAAGGCAGGCAGGCAGGCAGAAGGGCGGGTGGGGGGGGGGGGAGGAGAGAGAAAGAGAGAAAGGGAGATTGCTCCTATGAATCTATTCAAGAGGTTGTTTTGAAGGACGATATTACAGCTCATTGAGAAAAAGTAAAAACTCCTTTATCTCTCTATCATTTAGCATACCAGAGATCCAATATCTCTGTTCACAAGGAGCTATAAGTCATGTCCATAATGGTAATTTTCTCAGTAAGGGTTTTCATATATATAGAGAGAGATAGAGAGAGAGTCATGGGTATATGAGTGTGGCTCTTGAGAAGAGGAAAGAAAGAGATTATTGGGTTGTTGTGGCCATTAAAGGCCTTATGAGAGTTTGTATTCAAATATTCGATATAATAAAACATAAACTTAGTGGGAGGGTGGTCCTTTGTGGACCATGAGAGCCAAATGCTATTTACCGATACCCATAGTTGGCTTGATAAGCTAGGCCAATTGAGTTGAAAAATCCCTATTGCTTGAGCATGGAACAAAACCGATGAGGGTCTGATGAGTCATCCCTTGATGAGGTCGGAGTTGCTCAGGAGAGTAAGCCAAAGAACTATATAACCTTTGTATGTGATGGTTGACCTCTAGAGATGAGAGCCAAAGCCTCATCATTGAACCATCACACGATATGCACATATGATAGCTGTATCGAGAAAGCGAGTCACCATTGATGGTGAAGCATGTATAGGTACGAGAAATTACCCCTTTGTACTATAAAGCTCTGGTTGCATCAGGTCTGTGTGACTTTGGATTTGGTTTTAGAGGAGAACCTCTAATTCATAAACTAAGATTTTATCCTTTTATTTACTGGCTGATTTTGATAACCCATCTTATGTCTTTCTTATTCCTATAAGCATTAAGTTGATTTTATTTGATGAATAAAAGAAGTTGTAATTAGTAGCAGCAAGTGAGAATCAACTTTGATTATTTTTCATTTCTAGTGAGTTTTATTTCAGATACTTGGCTCATGGGTGTATTGGTTGAGTGATGGCAAAAGAGTCTCAGAGAACATTAGTAATGCTACGTTGCCCACTTAGAATGTTATGGATGAGGTTTGGAATTTGCCCACTTACTAAGATTTTCATTTCATTCATATATCTAATTATGGTTACATCGAAACTACCACTTAAGTCTTTCAAAAGAAGAGTATGATAACGAAGGGGACAGTCTTTCAAAAGAAGAGCATGACAACGAAGAGGAATTAGATGCATGCAGAAACCGAAAGTAAGAAGAAAGGAATAAAGAAAAAGCCAAAGGTTGGAGCTTCTCTTTTCTCTCCTGGCCCTCCCATGGAAACCAAAATTTCACAGTTTTTGCAAAAGAGAGAGAAAGAGAGAGAGAGGGAGAGGGATCGATTCCAAACTGCATCAAGCAGCAACAGTCGGGAACTTTGAAGCTTTTGAGCAACTAGCAGCTGAGAACCCTCACGTCCTCTTCTCTCTAACCCCACAAAAGAACTCCGCCTTCCACATATCATCAAAACTCGACCACCAACCTTTCGCATCCGAGCTCCTCCACCTCTGCCCCCCTTTCCTCACCCACCCCAACTCCAAAGGCGACATGCCTCTCCATGTCGCCGCCCGATCAGGCCACTCCACCATTGTCAAAGCTCTGATAAGTTTCGGCAAACTTTTGGGAGATGTTGTTGAGGGAGGACGAGGAGGGGTTGGAGAGTCTCCAGCTTATGTGGCGGCAGAGAGGGGATGGGTCGATATATTTCGGAAGATAATGAAGGCTACGCCCCAGTTTGTAGAGAAGGGGCCTGATGCTTGGACACCCCTCCATGCGACAGTCATTAGAGGACACCGAGGTGAGTTTACAAAATTAAAATTAGAGCAAATTACATGGGGACTATATTGGAAGGGGCCAATTATCATTTGATGACCAATATACCAATATTACGAGCACCACCCTCACCACTATGACTTTTTTTTTTTTTTCTAAGTTGTCCTCATGTCTGGCAATGAAAACACCAAACAAGAGGTTATTCTTTCTATTCCTAATTCTTTGTTGTCTGGGTGTTTGAAATACCGGACAATTACCTCTCTTATTTCCTGACAGGATAGCTGGCCTCACTTTCTACTTACCAGATTGCTCCCCCAATATCACAGTTTGGTCCATATTTTTAAGAGTGGCAATGGACAAGTTGGCCCGGCCCGGTATGTCCAGCCCCAAAAAACTAGGGCTTGGGCTACAAAATGGGGCTTGAGGGTTGGGCTAGTAGCTAGGCTAGGGTCATGACAGGGCCGCCCTAGTATGGCTAGGTCCAACCCTCATTTATCTTTACTTTTCCTTTTATTTTTTAAATTGTCTTGCACAACCTAGCCTTGAGAGGGCTAGGTCTAGGTCTAGGCCAAGGTTGGGCTGGCTCTACTCCCAAATCCTATGGGGAGTTGGCTAGGGCCTGAGTGGTTAGGCCCGGCACATCACCAGCCCTACATATTTTGTCCAAATTTGAGTGGAAACAACTCCTCTGTTATTATTATTTTCCTATTTTCTAGGGATTTTGATCTATTTTCTATGATTTTTAGATGTATGTTCTAGGATTTTTGAGGGGGTATTTATAGGCTTGAACTAGTTCTAATAGGATTAGGTTTAAACATTTTTCTGAAATTTTTCGAAATTAGAATGCATTTCTAAAAGTAGCACATCACGACATGACCATCGGGCCACGCCACGCGTTGTGCGGGCCGACCTGGCCTGAGTCTAAGAAGGGTTAGAATTTGTAATGACTCAATTCGGAAAAATTTAGGCGTAGCACCAATAGACGATAATATGAGAGAAAGTAGACTTAGGTGGGTTGGTCATGTGTGGCACAGACCCAGTAGAGCACCTATTAGGAGGTACGAGTTAGTTCAAGTGGAAGGATTGAAAATGGCAAGGGGTAGACCAAAAAAGACGTTGTTAGAAGTAGTCTAAAAAGATATGGGGGCCTCACTGAGGTTAAATAGAGCAGCATGACAGACCAGGATTCGTATCCCCGACCCTAATTAATTCGGAAAAGGCTATGCTGATAATGCATTTAAATTTATGAGGCTTTTAACTTTTGATCCGTAAATTTGATTCATGTGGATTTTTGACCGTTAGAAAGCTTGTGACCTCCTCTATAATTTGGAGTAAAAATTAGTCAAATTTGAGTTATTTATGAGAGGTCTACAAGGCTAAGATTTTAGGGTTTCAATTTTAGGTTTATGGGTGTCCAATTCAAATTAGTTTTATGGGGTTCATAAGGCTAAAAAAATATTTATAATCATCTAAAAAAGTTATTTCCAATCATCATAAAAATTATCAAAATCATCCAAAAAAATATTTATAAGCAACATATTGGTCATTTCAATTTTTGTTTTTTATTTTCTACTACCTTTTTGGTTTTTCTAGGGGGGTTTTGTGAGAGGCAAACAAGTTGGGTATCGAACACGGCCAGAACTCGCTTCGCCACTGGCCGAGGCCCGTAGTTTCAAGTTTGGAACACAGAACAAACGAATGTACATACGAAATTTATTTACAATGGATTACCTTTTACAACATCACCTTGAAACATAATAATCTCATTGTTTCACTCCTCTGGTAAAAATAGAAAAAATTCTCGCTGTTCAATTTTGGCATGTTTTACTGCAAGTTTACAACTGTATTAGTTGTTCTTGGGATGTAAAGATCACATGAACTGAGTACTAGATTATTTCCTTTACAAATAAGTAGGGCTTTATCTTGTTGAATACTAGACTATTTTGGTTAGGAATAAGTAAATTTTGGGGCACCTTTTATCTATCTTTCAATATAATCACAAATACATTTCACACTGCTATCTTATGGGCTACTAAGGAAAACGTTTGAATCAATTTTATAATTTTACCCATAAAAGAGGATGGTAACAAACGTGAGTGTGGACTTTCATTAACTTTGGGTGGTCCCATTTCATGATGTTAAAAGATTTCATGCTCCTGCAGGAGCATACTATCCATGAACACTCAATTCAATCTTGGAGAAATTTTTCAATCCAAGTTTTGGGATGTAACATTGTCGACCTATAGACTACTCTCAAAAAAGACAAATTCCAAATCGTACTCTCCATAAACCTGAATAAAAATTATGTCTCCAGATTGAGCCGAGACACTAAAATTATAAGGGTGAGATCCAAGCGTTAGAAAACTTAAAATCTCTCCAATTTAAACATAATATTCTTAGGTAGTTCCCAAAGGATTAGATTCAAAAACTCCCTTCCAAGTAGGTTTTATGCCTGAGGGAGTCGATGAACAGCATTAGCTCCGCTAGAGCATAGATACCCGCTTATGAATGGAACATAATATCTTGTCAAGTAAGTCACTAAGAGCCGTAGCATGCTCCAATGGGACCATATTGTACATTACTCTCTATGGAGAATAGCTATTTTTTGGGAGAAAATTTCCCCTCACAAATTTTGGGATCACCCGTCTGTATTCAATCTAACGATTTTTTTTTTAGGCATACACATTCAAACTTTTTTTTTTATTGAGGTTCGTAAGGTTAGTTCCCCGCCAAATCCAAATAGTTGGAATAAGACTCTGATGATGATGATAGTCACGTTAGATACCCAAAATTTGGAACACAAAATATGCTTTTGAATTGAAATTTGCCGGAGTGAGAAATGCTCCTGCAAGAGTCAAAAACATATTTGATGATCATTAATGACTTCTTATCGCGAGAATCTAGCTTTCGTTGAAGTTTTCGACTCACAAACAAAATTTTTAAAGCTGCTCATCTGATTCCTTGAAACTCATTTAGCTTCATTGTCTCAGAGATCGTTGAAGACCTACTAAGGGACAAACCAAACCTCACCAAAAATGTGGACACCTTTGGCAGCACTGCTTTACACTATGCGGCATCCGCAAATCATATCGAAATACTAAAAGCCCTCCTAACGACGGAATCCAAGTCCGGCGTACCTCTTAGATGAAGATGGCCTCTCCCCGCTGCACATAGCAGCAGGCTCAGGGCATGTGGCAGCAATGCAAGAGCTATTGTTAGCCTGCCCTGATAGCGTTGAGTTACTCGACGAGGTTGGGCACAATGCATTCCATGTGGCAGCCGAGAACGATGAGCCCAGCATCATTATGCACGCATGCAGGCGATCAGAATTGGCTGAGCTGTTGAATGAACCAGATGGCCAAGGGAACACAGTACTTCATATCACTGTCAGAAAAGAAAACAGTCATAATGTGAACCTTCTTTTGGATTTGCCGAACTTGGACTTCAGGGCCATGAACAGCCATGGCGATACCGCTTTGGATATCACAGCTCAAAAGGGTGGGCATACATATGAGCAGGTATGCTACTGTCAATGTTAAATAACTTCAACAATGTAGTCTGCAACCCAATCCACATCTCACCAATTCAATCGTTTTGCATGAATGAAGTTTTTCCAAGCAATTCTTCGCTTTTAAGAGCAAACGAAAGTTAATGGAAAAGAAAATGGATAGTTTAAATGAGTTTGAAGTTGAATGGCATCTACTAGGCATGGAGAGGAAGGAGACCTAGATAATAGGCTGGCAACGGCTGGCCTGAGCCAGGTGAGCCTTAGCCCTATCCCTACCCTAGTCCCTACAGGGCCGGTCTGAGCCCGGACTAAGCCAAAGAGAACCAAGCCCAAGCCTGGATGGGCCAGCCCCAGCCCTTAGGCCAAATGCCCAGGCCCTCGTTTTTTAGGGTTGGGCTCACCCAGAGAGGCTGTGCCGCCTGGCCCACTGCAAGAGTTACTAGGTAATTTATCAAAAAATGGGTAGGAGTGTTCCTGGAAGCCTTCCGGCATTGAATGCAATTGTGCAAACACCAGCAGGCCAAAACTTCGCAAATGGACTAGGACAGTACCAGCCAACTGGAGCAAGGCTTAGACCTTAGAAACCAGCATACTACCTTCTTTCCAGTGATATCAACAAAAACCAATAGCAATGAAAACCATTTGTCAGGCATTCATTATCCACGAAAAGGAAACTGAGAAAATGTCCTAAATCAAAGGGGCAATAATTCGAAACAGAGATAAATCTGCGTCGACAATAGTAGCCAGCTTGAAGAGCCAGCAATAAAAACAAACCGGAGCACTCCGAACTCACGTGGCTACAACACACAAGTAAACCACCACAACCACCTCCTCATACTCAAGGATGAGGAATGATAATTCCTGGAGTCCATGAAACCATTTCCTCTTCACCTTTCTATCTACTGATCATGCCTGTTAAGGGCCTGCCAACTTAAAACAAAGCGCTAGGATGCCACAACAAGAATTAAACCTATTTATACTACCCTGGCAGATTGAGTCTTGCCTGAACAAAAATTGACCTCGATTTAGAAGAAAACGTATCAGATCCTTTTAGACTCAACTAAATGTATTGGGCACGGTAGCACAGGATCACTGACAAGAGCCCAATCTCCGAATAATATAAAACACACCAAGTGATGAGATGTGAGGGAGAGATTGAATCTTGACAGGGCTTTCACTGAGCCACTAAGATGAAAACCTACCGAGTCATGGCTAGAGAATCTGAATCTTAAGGGTGTCATTGGGCCAGGCCCTGGCTGGGCCAAAAACAAATGAAAAAAATAAATAAAAGAGAAAAAAAAAGAACGAAAGAGGGCAGGGCCAGCCCAAACTGGACCGGCACTGGCCCTAATCCGGACCTAGGCCCATAGTTCATGGCCCAGGCCCTAATGTTTAGGGCTAGGCCGGGCCGGGCCACCCATCCCATTGCCAGCCCTATTTGAATCCCACAGGAGGGTCATTAAGACATTTATCCACCAGGGAAGAGAGCAATGATTCATCCCAAATAACGCAACAGGAGTTGTAAACTACCAAGGGTAATGCTTCACAAATTCCATGCAAAACCTGCAAGCAGCCATGTTTTTGAAGAAGAGACCAAAAAATGAAAACATGCTTCTTCATCCTGATCTAGTTAACATTAACACGGTGCCTGCGATTCAAGCCTCCCTCCCCCTCGGGAAGGAGCATTGTTTCCTTGGAAATGTAGTGAACCTCTTTTTTCTCAAAGCTAGAACTATAGAAATGTTGTCCCAAATCCTCATCCTCCACAGAGGGATCTTTGGAATAAGAATGTTGAGAGTGTGTCAGCCAGAATACCACTCGAAATGTATCAAATGACGGGATGGCGCCCACTAACAAAGTGGAGATGGCCCTTTCCAACCATGGGCTCATCATGTGAACTTTCAAATGTCAATTTCTTAAAGGCACATCCAAGTAGAGTTCGAGGGAATATGTAGCTAAGAAAAACTAATATCCAGCTAAGAAAACAAAATCACTAATACAGTATGGCATGGACAAGAGCAGCACTCAACCCTGAGAGAGAAAGTGCTTTGTTGCTTACTGATCAGTTCTCCTGGGAAATAAAAATAAGCATTCACTAAGTAATCCATGAAGTTCACGACATGCCACTGCAAAAGTTTCCATTTCTCTATGTGAGTTTTAATTGTCCGTTTTGAAATGTGTATTGCACCTATTGTTATGCTATTACACACACTATAATAGATAGGGAAAGCTTTTTATGTTCCCCCTACAACATAGAAGTTCTATCCTCCCCTTACAATCCAGCCTCCATTTTTTTATCAAGAGAGCCACTCACCGTTTGATCTTAGATCTGATGTCTCAAAGTATTTTATTTTTAGTTTTTTTAATACAAATTTTCTGAATATGAAATTTGGTACGTTCCAACTTATCATTGGGGCGTACCTATAAAAAATATTAACAATAATTTTTCGATAAAAAATAATGACCAAAATACCACTTGAATCTTTCAGGGGTATTTTGGTCATTTTTATTTATTGAAAATATTTTTTTATATTTTTCATTAGTGCGAGTTTAATAGAGGAATGGACGTCCAAAATTTGGTGTCAAAATAGTTTATAGAAAAAAATTAAAAATAAAATAGTGTAGAAACGTGACATTGTGATTGGGGCAATCTTAGCCCTCCATTCAAAAATGGATGGTTGGATAAGGGGGGAGGATAGAACTTCTATGTTGTAGGGGGAATATAGGAAGCTTTCCCTAATAGATATACCCAGTATGGAATAAAAAGTTTGAACAAGAATCTAAAGGATATTATATAATATTTTCAAATTTAAAATCTTATGTTCATTTTTATTATATTTTGAAAGGATATATAATTGCTTTGCAGAAAAAGATACATTTTACTCGATTTTGAGGTATGATGTAGAGAAAGAGATTTGAATTTGTGGCACAAGATTGAGCAAGTGCGTGTCAGGTTTGATATTCACCCTAAGAAAGATCATCCATGGCAGGTTGCAATATGGAAGGCCCTAGAGATCCGTGGGGCAGCACGAGGGCGGCGCCGCCAAAGTCAGGAGCCACGACAGCATTGGACAAGTGAGGCCACCAATGAGTCATACAAGACGATGGCTAACACACTCGCTCTTGTGGCCACCCTGATTGCCATTGTCACTTTTGCAGCTGCTTTCACCATGCCAGGAGAAACAAAGACCCATGGCCACAAGGAAGGAACAACAATGTTCTTACACAAAGCGGCCTTCAGGACCTTTGTAGTGGCTGACACGGTGGCCATGTGCAGCTCAATGGTGGTGGCACTGGTGCTAGTGTGGGCGGTCCCAAGTGTGCTGGGTATGCTCGCCAATGCAGTAGGTTGGGGGCTAAGGCTGTTATGGGTGGCACTGGGGGGAATGGTGGTCACGTTCGTGACAGCTGTGTACGTGACGATCTCACCAGATTGCATGTGGTTGGTCGTTGTATGTGTGATGGGATGTAGCGTGCCATTCTTAGTTGCTCCCATTGTCACTCTTTCCGCGTGTCAGAGTGTGCCAAAGAAGGCTTTCCAGTATGACCAGATCCAAGCTCCATTGCGCTGAAAAAGTCGACATCTCAATGGAAAATGTAACTCGCAAGCAGAAATCCGCCAGTTTGCCAAAATTACTACCATGGCACTAGCTGGTAAAAATGACATCCCTGTTTGCTTCTATTCATGTGACCCATCTAGGTAAAGGGGTGAACACACTGACTTTTCCCTTTCGCTTTTGGATATGATTTGAGTCCTCTAATTAGGAAAATCCATGGAAAGATCAATGGGAACACAAGAATCAACTGACCTCCATCCTAAAAGGAAGCCAGGGTTTTATTGTCGTTCATTCTTTTGTTGAGTGTTCAGTATTCTGATATGCAAAACTGCAACGAATTGCGAAGTTTAGATTTTTTTGTTTTCTTTGGGTAAGGAATGTATGCAAGTTATCACGTCTTCTGATGGGTAAAATGTATTCCTAATTGGATTCCAATATTACTTATGTTGAGACTTTGAGAGATCCATATCCACCAATCTCGAAAATTTCATATTTTGAGTACATGGTATCCACGAAATCTTCTGCAGTGAACTCCAATGAGTAGGTTTTTCCATTATTCAATCCACCAAGAATTACAATAGTTGCTGATCTCACATTAGTATCATAGCTTTTCTCATGATCCACTTCAACGAAGTTCACAATACTCGCTAACCGGACATTTATTCAAGAATCTTATTGGTTAAACAAATCTAATGCCTCTCAGCTTCATGCTTTTTCTAGCATATATTCAGATCAAAAGACAACTTCTCTTTTCTAGGTAAGTTAGCTGGGTTTAGAGTAATACATATTGAAGCCTCTTTTATTCAAAAGAGACCATGATACCACCAACACTAAGCTTTTTTTTGTTTGATAAGCGTGGACGAACTACAAGGCAAGCATTAGACATTGTGACGGGGCCAAATCACCAATATAAGTTACGTATTTGAAAAGTTAAATACATAAAGAAAAGTTGGAAATAGTTACAAATCAAAACTAATTAAATACATAAATAAAAGTTGGAAATAGTTACAAATCAAAACTAATTAAATAAGATTGATTTCATGCAATTATTTTATAGTAACATAACGGAACAATATTAAAAAACCATGTTATGACCATTTGTTTGAGCCTATACTCTCTTTATATTTTAATAAAAGGTAAGTATCGCAAATATTCCTATATTTTAGCTCAATTGGAAAAAAAAAAAACCAACTTTCAAAAACCTCGTCTATACCCTTTTTCTTCATTTTCTGATTTTTTTTTTTTTACAAAACTAACCTTCACAGTAATCGTTTCACTGTAATTCATATTAAGTTTTACGATAATTAAAATACCATAATAATTTAAAGTAGTAATACAGTAATTAAAATAATGCAATAACTTGAAATAGTATTACGATACTTTAAGTGCTGTAATAGATAACATTTTTTTTACAGTATTTTTTTTACCGAAATATTTCCATTTTATACAATACTTTAGCTACCGCAATGTTTAATCCCAAATACCCATCTTTCTCTCAACTTTCCCCCTCTATCTCTCTCAATCCCCCCAACAAACCATCTCCCTCTAAACTTTCTCTCCTCTCTCTCTCTCAAATCTCACATGTAAAACCCCTCTCCCAAATCTCATCTCTCTCTTCTCCCTCATTGGTCGAAAAAGAAACCACACATGATGCCTAATTACGGTAAAAAGAATGCCATAAAAAAAATGTTATCAATTACAATACCGTAATATTAATTTAAGTTCTTATAGTATTTTAATTATCGTATTACTACTTCAAGTTATTATGGTATTTTAATTACCATAACATTTAATATAAATTACAATAAAACGACTAAAGTGAAAATCATTTCCATCCAAAAAAACCTGAAAATGAAAAAAAAAAATGTAGATGAGGTTTTTGAAAGTTGCGTTTTTTTTTTTTCTAATTAAGCTAAAATATAAATATATATACGACAATTACCCTTTAATAAACAATCACAATATGCAAAATTTGAAAATACACCCTAGAAAGTATTTTTAAGCTTAATTAATATAAGCCATCCATCTAATAAGATACTTAGATCTAAGCTTTAAAAATATTTTTTTCCCTTTCCAAATTTTTTAGAAAGCTTTATTATCATTGATATAACGATGTTAAAAAAGTAAATTTTAATTTTGAATTTGTAAAACTATAAATATTGAAATTTACCGAATAGATGGTCAAGATTTATTGGAATCAACTCATATTGATTATTCCTATGGTGCAAATTGAAAAATAAAATAAGACAAACTGATTATTGAGATGAATAGTGTCTACAAAACTTAAGGTCATACAGATGCCACAAACATGGTTGTTTAGAAGTGTTCTCATTATATTAAAATGACATGAGATCGCTCCCCAATAAGATGTATACCAAATAGCTAACAATATAATATTGTCTAAAATATATTAATTTCAAAAAAGATAAAATTACTTGTCATCGGAGCAAGCCTTAATTTAAACTGACGTGTTCATATTTCTTGTTTTTTAAAGCTCACATTTCTAGAGCATACTGAAACGTCATTTTCGAAATCAGGGAGCTATGGATAGAGCCCCCTTTAGTGAACATACCTAAAATGACTAGCTGTATGTACCATGTTTCCAGTGCCCCAAACACGACATGACAACCCCATTTTAAACCATAATTATTGACCAAGTTCATTTAATTATGGTAAATCGTTTCATGTGGGGTAGCCTGCTAGCCCGCACAAAAACCTTGTCCTATAATTATTACATCTTATTTGTTCTCATAAGTTAATTCTATATGAACTTATCTGAACTCTAACCATCTGACTAATTTTCAAATTTCAAAAGCGTGTACAAACTAGGACCATACCATACTAAGCTGACATCTAAATTGAATAATAACCTTTTCAGCAACACAAACACAACCAACAAGAAATTCCAAGACAAGAATGTAAATCTTACAAGGATAAATTTGGAAGAAAAATAAATTTCAGGCATGTTAGAATGCCAAGAAAAAAGATAAAAAACAAAAGCACCTCACAGGACCTTGAGCTATTTTCTTTCAGCATCAATAACAAAATATTTTACACGACCGTCTCATTCGATTTCAATTTCACTCCCGTCCGCAACTGCCTCCACATCCACTTCCACTTCCGCATCCTCATCATCTCCCTTGTACTGCAGTATGTGTCAATCACATAGCTTTACAGTTTTCTTTATTTCTTTAGGAATAAGTAGATAACCTTTATTTCTTTGGGAATAAGTAGACAGTATACATTACAAGCTCAATGTTATTTAATTGATATTGAACAGATCCAGAAAACAAATATCAAGATAAGAAAACAAACAACTGTATTAATAATTATCTAATAAAAAAATTTATATAAGGTTGCAACCATATTTTTAGAAATAAAGTTGTACTCATCTATACCGTTCATTTTACTTAGATGGTGTAGATTGGACAGTATCTTAAAAGACGTGCCATGTATTGAACCTGTCTTAAAAGATATGTTAAATCTACACCGTCCAAATAAAATAAACGCAATAGAGTATCACAACCTTATTTTTACAAATAAGGTTGTAATCTTATACAAACCACATCCATATATAAAACAAATCCAAATTAAATTAAAAAAGAAAAAATATAATAAAACAAGATAATTGGAAACAACTCCAAATTAAATTAGAAAAGAAAAAATATAAAAAAAATATAACAATTGGACAATTGGACAATTGGAAACTATTACAACCTCCTATTGATAATTCCAAAGAATTCTACTTTCGCTGGACCATATCTTCATTTAATAACAAAGAATTCTAGTTGTGCTGGTAAATTCAAGATCTCACAACATCAGAAGATCTATAGATACGTAATTTAGAGAAGAAGGGAAGAAAGTTGGATGGGATCTGAAAATTAGTAAAGACTTGGGTACAAGGATTATAATAGCCCTTCAGGAATTATGATTATAAGAGTCCTTTTAATATCTCAGACGCACGTTGCTCAAGGCTTCAGAAGCCCAGAAAAAGCTCGTGCAGGGCAGCAGAATTAGACAATTGTACCAGAGAATCATAAAAAGCAGGGAGTTCAGTCTTTAGGTATTAAGATACATTTTTCGGCCAATTTCACAAAGTTTATGACATTGCATTCATTTCCCTACAGCAACAAGAGAAACATACCCCTGCGAAATCATGGCCAAACACAAGTGCTAGTATCATAAAGCTGATCAACATCAGCTTTTAGATGTAGTTAATGTAGTGAAAAACAGTATGGCATATGCAGTCTCAACTGTCTGTTCTCACTAATGAACAGTTTTGATAAACCATCCTCACCATTTCTGGCAGCAATGTAGATGGTTCATCTCAACCGTCCATTGTTCAGAATGGATGATTGAAACTACTTGTGCGCATCACATTCTCTATTCCTTTTCTCTAAAGCAGTGAAGGAAAATATTTCATGTTGAAAAACAAATATACTCTAGGATACAAAAATGCATATCTGTGCCATGTCTGCTGAACAAATTAACTATAAAATACAGCATGCCTTGACAAAAATATCACACACCAATATCCCTGAGGCTATCAACATGTCGCAGTATCAAAGACTCCATACCTGGCTGTAAACATTTGGAGGAACAGCAGGTGGTGGCACAGGTCTAAAAGGTCCCAAGCCTCCTACTTTGTCCACATTGGTGTCTGATAGAGAACGGAGATCCTCCTCTAATGCTGCACAATTAGCTGCAGCTTCTGATTTTTCATCAATCTCAACAGCTTCAATTAGCTCATCCATAGCATGTGCAGCCATGCTTGTTGAGGGGACCATGTGTCCCTGGGATAAGAATGAGGAACACCATTTTAAGTATTTTGGCACTTGTCATTGGAAAAATCACGAGAATGACAACAAAAAAGAAAGAGATACCAAGTACATTAGATTTCAGACGTAAACCAGGTGTAAATGTTTCATAACATAAACATAGTCTGTTCATGTCTGTTGCTTGTGTTCTTCCATTATTTTAGTATTGTTTTCTGATGTCCTATTATAATTTTGTAAGGGTATTTCAGTCATTATACCCAGAATACAATACAAATATAATTCCTTTACGAGGTTACTTGTGCCTTGATGAGAAATCTATGTACACTCCCGTTCATTTTCTCATTCTAATATGATATCAGAGCCTCATCATCTAAGAGCCCACCCAAGACGCGAGGCATGCTCCCAAGACATTGTGCAGATTCAAATTTGAGCAAGAAAGATTACTGTCCTACGTACCACGGACTGCAGCTTTCTAGAGTTTGCTAATCCAAGACCCCTGGGAGGGCGAGAGGGAGACAGGGAGAGAGAGAGAGAGAGAGATGCCTGCGAATGCTTCTGTTTCTTTTTTTTTCTTTTGAGACATGGATAATATTTCTATTAACAGAAACAAACCAAGAATAAAGATAAGATGAATCCCCACAAGAATCAATTACCTATGTTATAGGAGGCTTAAAAAATGGGCAGAGATAAAAGTTCACAGTTAATCAAGGAAACAAGATTATCAAATCCCAAAATTTTAGAAAGGGAACACATAGATATCATCTGCCATATAGAATGGAGAAAATCATGGGCATACTTCATGAGTTATCAAGTGGGTTTGGTTTCACGTATACATTCGAGAGAAAAACTAGGATTAGAATTTATTGTAGAAAACCCATGAAAGATTGCCTTAGGTGACAAACACACGTACAACTCAAGACATTTCGTGTTACTTCACTTGTGACATGGAAGACCAAGGAAACAACATAAAACTACTTTGATGGTAAAAGCTGAGTATAGAGCCAAATATATGACAAGGGACATATAGAGACTTGTGTCCTTCTGAGATGGCTGTTGTATTGAATTGACGTCTCCAACATCACTGTGCAGAAATAACATAATAGTGTTCTAAAGACAGCATCTGACCCTTTCATGAACACAAAACACATATGATTTACAATTCAACTTCATTTTGAAACAAACAGTCATGGGCAAAAGCATATCATCCAATCTAGCATAGCATTACAATGTAGAACCCCTAGCCTACATAACGATGAGCAATTGGCATCATAGGCAAATGTACGTGCATGTTCATACATGATTGTGTGCATGTTTGTGTTTCTATGTTTATGCACGTATACAATACATGCATAGTTAGAACCACCCACCCACACACACACGTGTGCATGCATGCATTGCCATACATGCATAATTACAACCACCCACCCAGCCATAGGCCCATGGCCACGGCCATGCCCACACCCACGTCTGCATGCACCCACACATGCACACACACAGCACACAAGCACATTCTCAAGTTGTGAAAAATAAATCTTAAACAGGGTTTCAAAAAACTCTAGGTGGCTAGCCTGGCGCCCAGCTCCTAAGCGAGCACCTGGGCTAGGACCCGGAACGTTAGGCGCCCTGTAATACAAATTCTTTAGATATATACATATATGTGTTGTCCAAATGCACATACGCCAATTTTGTAATTTATTGCATTTGTATGTATTGTAACATACTTTTTTATATACAAACATATCACATGTTAAGAATAAACTTGTTCAAACTTCAAAATTCAAATCACAGAAAATTCAGAAAAAATTAAAAGTCTAATAATCTATGTATTCGCAATGGGTGCGGTTTGTATAGAGCCCAGGCTCTAAACAATCAAAATAGAGCCTACCTTCAAATAGTGCCAAGAAATGTGGTTTCAATATTGGAAATCTTTGCGATAGCTTTAAAATATATTTTTATATTTACTAATAAAGTTTAAAGCTTCAAAAATAGTGTAGATCGACATATCTCTGAAAACTTGAAAATCTTGAAAATTGACGGTCCAAAAATGCGTTACAAAATACACTATTTCCAAAACTTGCGATCCATTTTTTTCTCATGTCCATGCATCTTGATGTAGAGATGATTAATTTGAAGATATTTGGACATCAAAACAACCTCTTCTAGTGAAATTTTTGAAGTAGGCTCAAATTTGATTGTTTAGAGCCTCGGCTCTATATAAACTTTTCCCATTAGCAATAGTCTCCAACTCTCCATATTGTATAATCACATGGAGTCCAACTCTCCAAGTCTTCAACAGCCTTACAAAAGTATAAAACCAAACAAACAATAGTCCAAAAAAGTCCAACATCCAAATGTCTAAAGTCCAAACCAAGATGGTGCAATAAAGTTGAAATAAAAAGCTACAAAAGAAGAGAGCGGACATTTGTGTTTCTCCAATCATCATTAGTAAGAATCAGAATCAACATATCATCGCTTGCATCTCCATCTGAATCAAGGCCATCATCATCAAAATCATCACCCTCTTCAACATACTGCTCTTCTTCCTCAGTTTCTTCTAAATTTCCCTCCTCTTCCTCTATCTCCCTTTCTCTCTGTGAGTGTGATGTACCTGCAGTAGTCCTTGCTCGATCAGGAGGTGGACCTGAAGCTTCCTCAACCATTTCCAAGGTCAAACCCTCCCCGGGGACGACCTCCTCAATACCTGGGTCTTTCAACTAATCAATCAGAAACATTCTCCATGTCTTTCAAAGCGATGGGATCCCTATTGTCCTAGTCAAACTTCTCCTTGGGTCTTTGATTCTCTCTAACAAAAACCAAGTCATTGGGCATCCTTTGCTCAAGCCTATTTCTTCTCTTTGTATGCACCTATGCAAAAAAATGTATTGAGTGTACTACTACTAATTGACCCATCTATGAGTAACGTATTATATCTTAATAATCTGTTAATTTTATTATCTTCTACGAATCTATATTAGGAAAATGTACTTGTAAACAAGAAAAGAATATAAAATACCATCGCAAATGAACTCCAATTACGCTCACAACCACAAGAGCTAGTTGTCCAACTCAAGACCCGAATAGCCATCTTCTGGAGGTGTGGAGCACTACTCCCATGTTGTCTCCACCATGGGGCTGCAATTTGCATGCAACCTTTATAATTAATTTAAATATTCAACATTTTCATAAAGAATTTTAGCAAAATAAAATACACCATTAGTTATTAGGAACTTGAAATAAAATTTTCAAACAAAATATATTATTATTACCTAGTTTTGCTTTGCTCCTCTTCTTACTGCCATTTCTTTCCCAAATGAATTCAAAGCACACTCGTACAAAATGAGCTCTTCAGTTCATATTTTATCTTGGATATTTGGATAAAAAAAAAATCTCTTAAAGTACCCACTAAAACCATCCATAATTTTATCTTTTGTCTCAATATCACCATCATCATAAAAAAACTTGGGGTTCAATACCCCACTCCATGCAATGGTCTATGAAGCTGCCTATCCATTTGTCATCTATAATCGACCAAATTGGGCTGTACTTGGTCTCATCATCGCCCAAATTCTTTGCAATATCCTTCTTAGTTCCTTCAAGTGCATCATATATAAAGCTCAAAGAGGGATTATCGGCATCAACCAAGCACAAGATCCTCACCATGGGTAGAAATACTTCACACCAAATATATTTAAAAAGAACAATATCCCGTGCATTCTTTCCCTTGGCATCTCTAGACCACCTGCACCTCCTCCAATCTTTTGAAGCAAACATAGTCCCCAATGGGATCCTCCTTTTATCCATACTCTTAAGACTAATTAGGCAGTGGAAAATCTAGTGACCCGGGCCTCACTATGTCCCTCTTCTTGGTAAAATTGCCTATCATGAGGGTAATGGTGTCTTAAAAAAAACACCTTTAATATCACCAATGTCCTCAAGCATACGATCTATGCAATGTGCACCACAAGGAGTCTAAAATACGTGAGGCCTCTTCTGGCAAAGCAAATAACTCGCAACTAAATTAGAAGAAACATTAACTATGACCATTTGAATTACATGCTCCTCCCCAATCTCATCAATGCCCTTATCAATAAAAATATATATATAATGGGCATCAAGAACCTCATCAGAAACAGCAATGGATCGCAAAAAAAGGGACAATTTACGAACAAATTCATGGCACTCCTCCTCCTATCACTCCATAAATCAATCATTATGAAAACCCCAAATTGAGCCCACCCATCCTTATAGGTCATGAGATATTCCTTAGTTACTTTAACTTCTTTCTTCAATAGTGTCTCGTCAAGCTCATATGGAGTTGGGCCTTTCAACCATGGCCCAAATTGCCCAATTGCTTCAAACATTGTATAGAAGCTATTTAAGCAAGCGGTATCAAAAGAGATGCATGTATGGTAAAACTACCAAGCAATATACTACTACCCAATCTCTATCATCCTTTCTAAATCTATTTTCAAGTGTCACTTGCTTTTTCCCGTTACCCTTCCCTTTCTCAATTACCATCTCGGGGTTCAGTGTAAAACAATTATCAATAGGCCCTTTCATATGTGGCCTCTTAGACCCTAAACCCCTCTTACTGTTAGAGCTCTAAGTAACTGCCGCCTCGCCTACCTCATCTTCCCCTCCTTAATCCTCATTAGTGTCAACATCATCATCAAAAACATGGACCGCTGCCCTCAATTCTACTATATCCTTATCTTTTGTTATTTTCTTATTTTTTTCAGCTTCAATATACTCATAAATATCGTTTCTTACAAGCTTTGGAACCTTCTAACATGGGCAACATCACCTTTAATATCGGCAAGATGTTTCTTTATTTTATTTATGCCACCATTGGAAATATGTCTACAAAAATTGCACATATTTTTGTTTGACATTCTTATCCGGGTTAACACAATACTTCCATCCCGGATCACCCATGGAAGACATCTCAAATCCAAAAAATCAAACTCAAATAAAGATTATAAACTAACCTTTTTGCCCGATCTCCGCTCTTTAAT